CAAGGTGTAACAACAACTACTTGTTTGTAACCCAGCCACAGTCTCCTCTCTGACTGCAAGAATTTGAATACAGTTTTCTAAAGCCTTCTTAAAAGGATTTTTACTATTTTCTTTTTTCTACAGATCATTTACAGTGCTTCTCTATTTGAACTTGCTGCGTCATGTACTAGTCAATCTCCTTTCCCTGTAAAAACACTCCATTGATCCACATGCCCATAATCTTAACCTATCTAGTTAGCTAGGAATTAATTGGTTATGTATTTTTAGTATCAAAGCCCTTTACATATTTCTCCTGTCTTTATTTTAAACCATCTCTTTAATAAATGTGAAATATCTTATTTGCAGTCTAATTTAAGGCTCTGAAAATGAGAAAAAAAATGGGGGGAGGAAGGAACATCCACATTCATAGCAAATGTCCAAGTTTTAAACATATTAGAAATTGGAATGAATACAGACTTTGAAACAAACATGCATTTCTAAATGTCTCACTGGAACTTACCTGTTAGTCTCTACATTTATGACCTTAATGCCCAACATTGTTCCATAGAGAACGAAGTGTCCAGTTTCATCAAAAACTATGTTAATCAATCTTACTGCATCCACTTTCTCCAGCTCACGCTCAACAGCCATGCGGCGCCCAAACTCCATGTCTGGTAATTGCTGTCTCATCTGCTGAAGTTCAGTAAACATCTACATACAAACAAACAATATATATATATACTTACAATACGAACATACTTTAAACTTTGGAGCCAACAAAGAACCTATACACATACTTAGGAAATACAGAATTCAAACAAGACTAATCAGATGTTAAAATGACCTGAAGATTTAAAATACAAAAAAAAGGGGAGGGGTTGGGGGGTTAATTGTATGTCACATAGTAGGCATATTGCAGTACTTAGACCTCAGACTACATAGCTATCTAATAAAATTATTCAAAGATCACAAATGTATGTATACATTATTATGATTTTATTTAATGAAGAGAAGCCTATCAATACAAAATATAAATTAAAAATAAAATCAAGAACTCAGTTTTGCAATACAGCTAATCTAAATTATTACGAATTAGTTTTTGATCAGAACAATGTAAACACAAAGGAAGAGGACAGGAAAACCTTTCTAGAAGAAAAACATAGCAATTAAGCTTAATTTTCAGAACAGATGATAATGTATGTGAATGTGTTGGTAAGTAAATTCAAATAAACAGATAAAAATCCCCCCAAAAAGAGAAGCAAGACTGAACTCACACTCAGAGATTCGTCAAAGACTCTCATGAGTTTCCCTGTCAAGAACCGGAAAATTCTAACTTTTCTGTCAGACCCAAGAGTGGCCATTTTCTTGCCATCAGGTGAAAAACTTATACTGGATGGGTAAGCCTTGCATTTAGCAAATTCATATAAATCAGTGTCCGTTTTATACTCCCAGTTCACATTCTTGGGAAATTTATATTCATGAGGAGTACCAGTCCAATACTCAATCATTCCAGATTTGTCAGAAGACACCACTACTTTGTAGACAGGGTTCAACCGTATCTGAGTAAGAGAGGATGAATGGAGTTTATCAAAAACATGAAGTGGCTGATTATTTCCTCGTCCATCATATATGAATATTTTTCCTGTGCTCTTCTCAGATGTGGCAACAGAAGAGATGGCATCTCCAGGGCAATATACCCATTCACATTGGCCAGGGCTGTAGCTGCAACAAAAGGTGGAAGGAAAAAGTGTACAGAGAAGTAAGAAGTACATCTATGGAGCTATTTGTCCCAGAAGAAAGGCATAAGCATTTACTGCTCTTAAAACGGGTTAAACATCCTATATTTCTCTGTTTTCTCTGTTAAACCAGGCAATCTCCAAACCAGTAGAGGTATTTTGAATAAGGCAACTTAGCAAAATCTGACCAGAAAATAAACTTTATTTAAAAATATAATTTCTTATCTCTTATGCAAAATAACCCCAAACATTTTATAATCTCTACAGTTTTTTTTCCAAGAACCAAGTCACTTACCCAAGCTTCAGCATGTTGATCATATCAAAGTTGATCACATCAAACACCTTCATTGCTTTGTCATCTCCAACTGAACAGAATAAAGCCCCCTCTGAGCTAACAGCAATACTCTCAATAACTCCTGTAAGAAAAAGTTAGTATATACTATTAAGACACTGGAAACAAACATCCTTCTTTTCAATATCCCACAGAAAAGGAAGACAGAGACATTAATTAAAAATATACAGAAGCCTACAGATGTTTCTCAGATGTCTCTTTACCATTTTTAAAATTCTAAGACCTACCTTAAAAAAAAACCCAACCAAACAAACAAAAACCCCAACACATACACACACTTTGTATTCTATCATTATTTGGAATTTGGAAGCAGATAAGTAAAGTTGTGTTAATCTTCTTTCTTGAATTAATCTTCTTTATTTATCCTGTTCGCTCATTTTTAAAAAGAAACTCTCCCTGTGTGCTAGACATTCTCCGAGAAGTAGGACAAAAAGCAATGCAAAGCATGTAGGGGATCCAGACAAAGAGACTCATCAAGTTTTGTTCCCACCCCATCCCTTTTGCAGTTTGGAGCAGGATGGAACAGGAAAGAGGAAGGAAGGAAGGAACCCAGATGTATATCACTTCATCCCTGACAGCAACAAGTACATCCTTGAACTCCTCTTGGTTTGGATTTGCACTGTGCAGCCTGTTCAAAACACTAGGGGGGGAAGCATTCCTTTATAAATGAAAAGGTAATTTCTCACCTAGATGGCTACGAAAATGCTTAACAAACTCGATCCCTTCTTCTATTTTTTTCCAGAACTTTACATGCCCGTCATGACTGGCTGTTATGATAAAATCTGTCCTGCAAATGCAAAAGAAAAAAAAATAAATTCACATATAATGCACTTCCACACTACTGTTGGGCAGTAATTTGGATTAAGATAGTACAATTAACACTGTGAAGAAAAGGAACTTAAAACTAATTACTCTGACAGTTGTCTAAATAGGCACTCTCAGTTCTGAAAAAGCAAACATATTTTAATGTTAATAACTCTCACCTAATCCATAAAAGATAAATAGCTTGAATTTAAGAAATATTAATTTTAATATATCTAAATATTTTAGTATTGATCTGCTACTCTCTAGGTTTGGTTTGACAGTAGTTTACCAAAAATATATCTCTTAAAGGTATGAGAAAAGAAAAGCTATTTCTTCAATTGGTGCAGTTCTGCTGAATCACAGTTTATTATTTGCATAGCCAATTTCTTTATTTCTGTACATAATGGCAATAAGGATTTTCAAAACACATTTTAGTCCATCTAGTCATCTTCTTGGTAAGCCCTTTCTTTTATATTTAGTTTTCAAAACCTTAAAATGCCACCTCAGAACACAATAACTTTCTATTATTGCACTTCTTCAACTTCCCCTCATACACAAGAGCATATTACTGACAATAATATACTGTGAAAAACAAGAGACTTACTTAGTACATGCTACGTGGGTTATGACATCTCTGTGCATGTAACTGCGTTCATACATTGAAGCACTTGGAAGATTTTCAAGATAGACATGTTCAAATTCAAGGACTGAACAGAACAAAAAGAAAAATCAGAAAATTTTGTGTTCATAAAGATACACCTAGCTTCCTTTATCCATTGCCCTGGAATCAGCACTAGAATTCTGTCCTAACATAACACAGGGGATTCCCATGTGGTTTGATGCTCAGGTGGATGATGCTCTAGGCTTATGGCAGACAAAGCCATCCAGACTCTGCTTTCTGCAAAGAGACCCCCTTCTAAAGCAACCCTTGTCTTGGCTTCCTGAATGTGCAAAAAGCATCTTAAAAATATGAATATGTAAAGCTTGTGAGCAGGGGGGTTGGACTCGATGACCTCTGAGGTCCCTTCCAACCTTCGGCATTCTATGATTCTATGATTATTATGGGTACCACTCCTTCCTTAATAAAGCTACTAGAAGGCACAGATCATTTGACCTGGGAAATTTTTATGTTCACTATTATTTAAAGCTAATCTTTCATGAAATAATCTGGAAACATTATGTCCCTCTTGTCAGAGGATGTTTTTAATGGTACTTTAACGGCACTTTTACCCAGATCACCTACTACCTCACGGCTCAACTTCCCACTATACATACACTGACATGTCATCCTATGGACTGTTCAGGTCCTGGGAGAAAGGGCATCATCAACATTTCTTTTCCTCTCCCCCTCAGCCCGAACTGGGTCATCGTTATGAGATCCACAGCCCCACTCTGGAGTTACAACCCAACTACAAGCACTGGCACCTGCCCCTTTGCCCTGTTGTATTTCTTAACCCGGAGTGGTGCCAGGTTCGGGACGCGCTTGTCCGACCCATCCCAGGCTCGTTACGTGTCAAACACGGCCCGGGGGCTCCCGCAGCCAGGCCGGCCCCACTCGGCGGCGGCGCAGCCCGCAGGGGCGGCCCAGGGCCCTGCGCCGCCTCCTTACCTCTCCGCTTCTTGGCCTGCGCTGCCTCCGCGGGCAGGGGCCCGACCCAGCGCTCCTCGTCCTCCCCTTCGGCCTCGGCCGCCGCCTCGGGCCCGGTCTCGGCCTCGCCGCCTCCGCCCGCTCCCGCACCATCGCGCTGCTTCCTCTTGCGCTCCGGCTCCGCCGCCTCCATGCTGCCGCGCGTCACTTCACCGCGACGCCCCCCTGCGCGGCGCCCGGCAGTGACGCCACCCCGGCGGCGGCGCGGCGCAGCCAGTGAGCGCGCAGCGCGCGCAGACTTGGACGCCGCCGCGCCGGGCAGCGGAGCGCCGCGGGGCTGCCATGGTAACGGCGGGGGCGGGGGGAGAAGCGCCCCGAGAGCCCCCGCGGGAGCCCGGGCCGCCATTAGGGCCCGTCCCGTCCCGTCCCGTCCCGTCCCGTCCCGTCCCGTCCCTCTCCTCCGCACCCTGCCCTCCCCTTCGCCTTTTGTTCTTCCCCAGCGTTTCTCTTCTCAGGCCCGCCCTGCTCTCCTTTCTTGTCTCTGGGTTCCCGCCGTGTTCTGCGCTGAGTTTGAACCTAACTTAAACATAGCTTGCCACTTCCCTCGGTTAGAGGTCTCTCTTGCGCGGTCTCTTACGGCTCTGGCAGATTAATTAATTGTCACTGACACACATTGTTATGCAGGTGCCCCTTACTCACGGGGTAAAGGTGAGAGATTGAAAGTGTGAAACAAAACGTCTTTTTCTGTTATGAAAAAAAATGATATGAGGAGAAATTAGGGTGGGGAAGGGTAAATACCCCCTTGTGTACCCCGAGGAGGGAGCAGGAAGGGTTGTACACACGGGTGTACACGTGCGGGTGTGCGTTGCAGCTTGGTTTCTAATAGGGGGCTTTCCTGTCTGGGGCTTTCGTGAGGTGAAAGAAACGGCATCGGAGGGCGGAAGGGAGCAGGAGCTCTGCCCCAAGGGAGCAGGAGCTCTGCCCGTCTTGGACGTTCCCGTGTCTCCGGCTCAGCCGCCTGGGCCCCACTGAGCCGCAGAGCCACCAAGGCCGGCCCGAGCCAGGGCCCCCCGGGCCTCCTGCCAGGGTGACAGCCGCCCTGTCACCCCGCGCCCGCTGGCCCCCCGCGCCCATTTTCGCTCTGAAACACAACTTCACGTCTTATCCCAAGCGTGCCTGGCTTTTGTTAGCCTGCTGTGGGGGGCTTTGCTGGAGGCATGTCCGAGTCCTGATAAATTACGTGAGCTGGTTCTCTTTTCACGGCGTGGAGGCGTTCCAAAGCTCCTAGGAAGATAATGGGTTTTCCTTTGCAAAAACTGTTCTCGTCAGACCTTATCAGATCATGGCATCCAGAATTTTTTTTTTAGTGTTCTGTTTTTAATTATTGATGCAACAAATTTGCCAGGAAAACTTATTAAAATTATTGCTACCTCTCAATTCCCTGGATTATTTCCTAAGATACATTACTATTTTTTGTTAGCCACTCTGCAGCATCATACTTGAACTCCAAGAAGTATTTCTTTTTTTGTATGTATTTGTTCGTATATCTTTCTAGACTTTTTTTTTGTTAGTGTTGTTTTGAGAAAGAACAAACAGTTGACTTGGGATTTCTGCATCATCAAGATGGCAAAGTTGTCATTAGATCTTTATCTTCTTTTTATCTCAAGCTATTTGAGAGTTTTGATGATACGTTTAAGTATTCCTAAAGGCTTTGTGAATCTCTTATATTTAGGAAATTCCCATTGATTGCTTTACCTTTAATTTTTTTCCTTTTAAAGGTGGCCTTTTGGCCCTTTTTCCTGTTAGTTGCTATTTTTTTTCTAAATGTATTTTTCCTTGACCCAACAGCTACTCAAACTTTTAAATTTTATTTGTGATTTTTTTTTCCACTTGGCTCTCCAAACTGGTGCCCATCTTCATTTAACAGCTGCGTATGATTCAGGTTCTCTTGTTTTCTTTTTGCTTGTTTTTGTTTTCTCTTATTAACCTCCCATGTGGTTGAATTTAAGATCTTTTAACATTTATTAGTCATAAAGTATAGAAATGTATGAAAGTATAGAAAAGTAACTAAGCAGAAGAGCTTTGCAGGTATATAGAAGAAGAATATTTTTGTAGATGTGTACTACTACTTCATGGTTTCTTTAAGAAAGTTATTGGAAAACAACAACAACAACAAAACATACAAATGCAGATCATCCATAGCAGTCTTAAACATAAGACTGTGATTCAGGTGAAGAAAAAAAAATCAAATTTGACTTAAGTAATAGGGGTAGATGATTTTACTAATTAGATGATTTTACTGGATGATTGGGTGCTGCCTAGAATTACAGAAGAATTAATTAAAAACTTCACGGATTCAAAGGGTCTGTTTGATATTTGCCTTAAAATAGTAGATACGATTCAGTATTTTGTTTATAAGTATTGTAAATTTTTGTGGTAAAAGTTCTATTTGTTTGATAATAGGCTGAAAAATTACCAGAACAGATGCCAGACCACCAGCCTTCACCTGCAGAAATTGTCAATGAATCAATGTCTCGGGTAGATGCCAAAGAAGAACTCTTGGATGAATGTGAGAGTATTTGGAAGCAGATGGAAGAGGTATGGCAATTACGAGTAGTAGACTAGAGTTGTAGATTTTTCTCCATATTGTGTGTTTCATCTCCCCCTATTCCCGGCTTCCTCATCATACTTGTCCCTGGCCTCCATTCCCCCAAATCCTTACGCCCCACAGTAACAAAGGAAAAAAAGCCTTCAAAGGCCCGGGACATAAATATTGGCAGCCTTGCAATGTCAGTCTTTATTTACAGTATGCTGGTATTACGATTTCATTGGATCTTAAGTTAACAGAGAGCATGTACCAAAACTACAGAAAATATAAGCAACTGTTGTTAGTGCTGTGCTACTTTTACTCTCTTTAGCCTTATACGAAGTGGAAGACAACTGCTGTTTAAGGTCACAAATACTTGTGACCTTAAACAAATAAGAGACAGAGGAGAAGAATGGGAAAAGGAAGAGGCTGGAAAGGGTGTTTGCATGCTCTCATACAAACCAACAGTTGGGCCCTCAAGGGTAAAGGTATCACTTGACATGTGGTCCAGTGTGCTTGTAATAACTGGAGAAAGTTCTTTTTTATTTATTTTTTTTAAGTAAAGCAAAATCCTTGGGAAGATTAGCTGTGAGAGAATAGTATGCATTCATGAGATTACTCTGAATCTGATGAAAACACATGTTCTAAATTATGCTTTGAGAACCTTACTTGCTACAGTTTATGTTGTGTTTTGCACTACACTTGCTTGAATTCTGTATTGTAGATACAAGGCATTAAAAATATAAGAAATAAAAATTAAAAATATGTCAAAACTTAAAGCAGATTAAAGCAAAGCATTACAGAGATTGAAGGCCTGAAATACTTTTTATATATATATATATATATATATATTTCAAAAACAGCTAAGATGTTGATCTTAGGTTCAGGTAATCTGAACAATTAGAAGTGTTATTAAGAAGTTTGTGCTACATATATTCTAACATTGTAGCAGGAAATATAGCATAGAGTGCACACATCCATATGTATACATGTAAAAATAAGGAATATATATTCCTATTTGTTAAGTGTGTATATATATATATTTTATAATGTATCATATAACCTTATTTATATTGCATATGCACTAAACATGCCTTTGCATGTGCCTGTGTATGCACACAGGTGCATACATTAAAAAATTTTTTTTTCCAAGTTTCCTTCCAAGTTCGGTGTCTGTCTTTTTGTAAATCTTTCCCCTGTAAGTTGCTTTTTTCTTTTTTTTTCTTCCCCCTGAAATCATACTTCCATTCTTGTTAGCTGCTGCTTTTGTACTTTTCAACAGGTTCCATCTTTTCACTATAGTATAATTTCAAAATATTACTTTGCTTGGAACAAAACTAATTCCTCCCAACACCTCCCTTCCTCTTTCCCCTCTCTCCCTACCTCGTAAATAATTTTTAACCATTTTGTCTCTCTCTTACAGAAGACATAGTAAACATGTTTTCTGTTTTGTTTTCTTTGTTTCCTACCAAGTGTCAAAGCAAACTAACACTTCTAGGAACAGAAACACTGCCAGAATCAGATGCCAAGGTAAGGCAATGTTTTCTTTTTACTCCCTGCAAAATCTTTTCTGTAAGGAACCGATGTGTTTTGAAAAGAAGTGAATTGAATTATCTTTATTTAGTCTTCAAAGCAGTCAGCTTTAATCTTATTAGCTTTGGTTTATTCAGAAGTATGTTATTGCCAGGCAAATGCTGAGAAGTTGCTGAGTTTACATACAGCAAAAAGGTTACGTGCAGTCTAACCATGAAGCCTGACAAATAACTAACACCAGGAGCAAAGCAAAGGGGGGTCTAACTTCTAATAGCCATTTGGAACAACTCCTAGTCAGCATATATGTAGTTTGTGAAACTGTATATAAGTATCTATAATTTTACTCTGAAACTTCTTTTTTGGAGATGACTATACTGCTGGTCCCTATTGGTAGATATCATTAGAAAACTATACTTGAATTAGAAATAAATTGAGCAACACTCACCACATAAATTTGAACTCCTAGATCCCTCGAATTTTTGAGAACATGCAAAAAGACACTGTTGTCTCTTCTGTAATTGGGTATAATTTCTAAATATGAACATGTAAAATAAAACTTATATGTGTACTCTGGAATATGAAGCATATAAACAATTAAACATTTTAAGCACACTGATAGAGTAGATTTACCCTGTTTGACTGAATCATTAACAGAATTGCACATGTATATCAAGTATTGTCACTGCTTTTAGTAGCTCGTCTTCTGTTTGCCTGATATTATAGAGGAAATGAAGGAGAAAAAAAATCAGCTGTGAAGGCTTCTGATTTAGACCCTTTTTGGTGGTGGGGAGGGAAGAAGAATGAATAAGTCTTTATAAATTCTTTGAAGGATTACATGGTGTATTGGAATTAGTTGTTCTTTTGCTCTTTGCAATATAAAGCTAATAAATTATTTTTTTATCCCATTCTATCTCATTAAATGCTGATATAACTCAGCACACTTCAAAGGATATTTTTTTTCTTGTTATTCAGCTCTCCTTGTTAATGATGCGAGTGAAAGCTTTAACAGCAGAGTATAATCTATGGCAAAAAAGAAGTCCTGAAAGTAAGTGTTCTTTTGTTTGTCTGTTTTAATATTTATTAAAGCCTAAAAATTTATGAGTATACCCTACATTTACAAAGTGTCTTTCATCTAGGCATCTTAGACTGTACATATATTTAATATTTACTCTTATTATTGTGCAGTAAGTACTTTAAAACAAAATTAAATACTATTATATAATAGGTTATATTCCTTTCTGGTTGTTACGCCATGTTCTTTCAGCACCACAGTCCTCAAAGTGAATTATCCTATGATTCTGGACGAATTACTGCATAATTCCTAAAGGGAAAATAAGTGTTAGCAATTCTCCAAAATCTTTTTGTCCTAAATCACAAAAAAATGCATTATGCTGTTACTTTTCTTCAGGTTTTTCTTTTCTGTGATTTTTTTTTTTTTCTTTTCCATCCATGCGACTTCCTTTTTAGGATAGGATTACCTTGGAAAATATTGCCTTTCTGTTGTTTCCTAAGAGTCCAGTGTACTTTTATTTCTTTCAAGTGCTACTAATGAGGTACTAGCTGAAACTTTCAAGTAAACCTTTAGTGGTAAACCTGCTAAGTGTAGTAAAATGTCTAGATTGGTTTTAGCGGGGTGCAGAGATTCCAAGTCAAGAAAAGGTTATAAAAGATATAGCATATTTTAACCACACAGGAATTCAGACGGCTTCTTCATCCTGAGAAATAAAAACATTCAGAATTGAAATGCACATAATGTGATCTTTCATAGGTGTTCTATCTGGAAACTCTTAAATCAGTTTACAATGAACTACCATTAGTTTTCTTCTAGCATTCAATTTTATGTCTACTGCCAAGGACCCTTTGGAATCTTTCAACATGGTAAAATTTATTGGTATAAGTTTATTATCTGTGTATCCATACATTGACCAAGCAGAATGTTTTTGTTCCAGAATCTTGTCCTTTTTGGCATTTCCAAAGTGATAGGAATGCGACATAGGCAGAAAATTGAGATTTCCAGTATTTCTTAACTTGGCCAAATTGGAATGCATTCTCAGAGGAATGTTAAAGCTGCTTCTCCAGCTTCTGTCAAAACTTGTGTATGTGCTGCATATCGTATAATCAAATAATAGGAGTTGAAAAAAATGTAAATATTTCTTTCTTAGAAATAGCTATTGCTGCTTTGTCCAAATAAATCTCTGCTTTCATGGTTCACATGCTCTGTTAGCCAGTGGTCAGCCTCAAATGCTTCTTAGTGGTGTGTTGACCAAAAGTATGAAATTGAAAATACTGTTTGACTTCTGTTTCTAAATAAACTGCTGACTTACAAAGCTTCAGATGAATCAAAAGTACTTAGAGTTTTTATCTGGGTAAAATAACTTCAGATGTTGCGTTTTATTGCTAAAATATGTAATCTTTTAAACTTTAAGCTATTTGCTTAAAATATTCTTGGGGCATACCCATTTTTATTGGCTTACTGAATTGCTTGGCTCTAGCATTCTGATTTGTTACCAGGTAATAAGATTTATTATTAGAAATCTTAATTTTATGCTGGATAAATGACCTGTGCATAGTATGATATGAACAATTTATCATTTTGCAGTCAAAGTTTTACCTTTATTGTAAGTTCTCTTTTTTGGCTACTTTTCTGAAGGGAGGAAAACGAGGTGCCTTCAAGAATTTGTATAAAATTATAGTGGTTATATGAAAATGGAGAGACTGCTGGGCTTACATTCTCTGTGTTGACTTTACATCTTGGCTTTTTATCTATCTATTGTTTATTTTGAAGGAGGAGTTACTTAACTGAAAACTGTCTGAATGAACATAAATAGAAATAGTAGGAATATTAGTTTCATACAATTTACTTAGGGTATGAATGTCAGGCTGTCTTGCTACTTTGGCTTCTGTTTTTAGTAATGGCCGGTACAATTCTTGTAAATGAGGGTCTGTCAGCATTTCCATTTTAAACATTGTTTTCAGAGGTTATACCTTGGCAGTTCTAAATGTCACTGGGCACAATCTTGGCAAATAGGCTTAAATCCACAATGCAAATAATATTTATTTTTGCAAAGATTTTACTTTCCTCTCTTGTTCTTTCTCAATTTCTGATACTATTTATGTAGCTCTAGAACTGCCAGATCAGCTAAAAAACCTTTTTTTTTTTTTTTTTTTTTTTTTTTTTATCAAGCATTTGGCTACTAAAAATAGGATTTAACTTTTACCTTGCAGAATAAAAAAGTGGAAGCAACCATTTTTAATAAAACTTTATACAACAGTTGTGGTCTCCCTTTAACTTCTGTTTTCCTTCACAAAATGTAAATATTCTGCCAAATTCCTCTTATTTTAACATGGATTTTCTGTATAAAGATATGTAGAGTAGTAGTTCTTGTATTCTCAACATCTGGTATTATTTTGCCTAGTAATTGTACTATGTTTCAGTAGACTATTTTTTGTGACATTTATTTGCTTTTTGCTGTTTACATTTGCAAATGTAATGAATCATAACTGCAAAAGCTTCAGATGATAATAGATACAGCAGCCTGTGTACTTTGCAGTTGTGGCTGCCATAAATCATAGTGATGTCTCAGTATGATTTGCACTGGCTCTTCACTGACTTAAGCCTTAGTGAAGGCATCAGCTCTGGTCCTGGGATCCAGCCACTGAAGAGGCTGCCCTGACACCTGTATTATAATATGTTAATAATAGTTCTAGTTAATTGCAATAAAAGCCTATCAATGAGTTTGATCTTGCATATATAGAATATCAATGTCATGAAAAAAATCTTGTTCTAATAATTGCACTGACCACTACCTCACATAGTGCTTAAACACAAGGTGATTTAGGAACACTCGAATGTTGTGGTTAAAAATTAGAGATAGTAATTTTTTTTAACTAAAAGAGGTTTTACTCTGACATGTAACAATACATTTAGAGTTCAAATTTCACAATTTTTCATCTTCAAACAAACACTTATTCCTATTAAAACCATTCATTTAAGGTTTCTCAAAGTTGGTAGCAATTTAAAACTGCTCTAAAATTACTTTGTCAAAAATGGTACTTTTACTGTTTTTCGGAAATATTTAATACTTAATGTGAAGTTTAAGGATTTTCCTTTTTGTTAAAAGGAAAGTTTTCATCACCAATTGCTTTTGTTAAATTTAGATTTTTGAAGCCCAACCTTGGATAAAAATATCCCCGTGATATTAAAATTTAAATCTGTTATAGCAGCTTTCATTCTCTTAAGAGAGTGATCCAAATGCTTCACTTTTTCTGAAGTCATGCATTTATGAAAATTGACATCGATTTCAAAATTTGTTGAGAAATGATTGGAGTCTATTGAAGTCTATTGTCCTCAGCAAATCACTTCTTCCAAAAGTCCATGAGCTACGTTCTGCCGGAAGCATTCTGCAGAAATACCACCACATGCTTAAACAGCACAGTTTTTTTTTGTTGTTTGTTTGTTTTCAGTACTGCTATTTTCCAGGGGAGATAGTATATTAGCCTAACTGTGTCTTTCATCTCCTCATGTATAGGTGTTCTTGTGAATAGGAAGGATGGTAATTGGTTGAATCTGTTTTTTTTCTTAGAATAGTTTTCAAGCAGTGGAGAGCACCGGAGTGCTGAAACCCAGGGTGTTCACTTGGTCTCTGTCTTTTAGCAACAAGTAACCCACAGACACACCCCAAAACAGCTCTCTTTTTAGCACCCTGCATTTTCATGTTTGTAATATGTAATGTACTTTTGTTATAAAGGAAGTCTCAAGTAAAAAGGTCAACAGCAGCCATGGGCTATGTTAGGAAGAGCATCTGCAGCAGGTCAAGGGAGGCGATAGCACTGGTGAGACACATCTGAACTGCTGTGTCCTGTCGTTGGCTCCCCGCTACAGGAGGAACATGCGTGTGCTGGAGCAAGTCCAGCGAAGGGCCAGGAAGAGGATTAAGTGACTGGAGAATCTGTCAAATGAGCAAGGACTTAGTAAATGAGAATTCTTTGGAAAGAAGAAAGCTCGGAAGAGGATTTTATCAAAGTACATAAATACCTGGTGGGAAAGTGTTAGGAAGACAGAGAGTTAGAGTCCAGGAGAGACTGACCAGACCAGAGAGTGATACTCAAAATCCGACTGGACAAGGTCCTCAGCAGCCTACTCCAGGTCACTATGCTTTAAGCAGATTTTGGTTGGACTAGGTCATCTTCAGAGGTCCATTCCAACCCTAACTAGACTGCACTTTTGGGAAATTCTGTGAAAAATAGATTTGAAAACATTTGCAAAATGTTGGCATCTGGACTATAGAAATGTAGCCACATTTTCCTCATCAAGTAAGTTTTAATATTACTATGAAATAGTATGAGTCTGCAATGAAAAAATGCTTTACATCAGGCTACAGCAAAAAATGTTGTAATAGCACTTAACCTTCTCAGTGTTCTCTAATTATTGATGAACCTGTTTTTATAGTGTTTTTTGTTTGCTTGTTTTTGTTGGTTTCCCTCTTCCAGTGATAATGTTGATAGAATCCTTTCCATTAAAAAAATGGATGCAGTTAATATTTCAGTGCTACATACCTGAGCTAGCTGACATACAAAAAATAACCCAGAAACTGTAGCTCAGTATTTTCAATCTTATTTATTTTACTGTATAGTGGTAGTAGAGTTGCCATAAACACAACACCATGAAATATGTTTAAACTGCTTCTGATAACCAAATTAGTTTTTAGGAGCTGAATGCATGTAGCATTCTTGTTTTTCAATATAAACAAATCTGTTATGCAATGCAAAAAACACCATTTTTTTTCCCCCCCCAGTAATTTCTACCAATCCAGATGTACTGGTAGCCTTAGGAAAAGAAGAGGTAAGTCAAATCTGTCTTATGCTAATGAATAATAACTTTTTAAATTATTTTTTGGAGAAGCCAAAAAGAAGTATATACAATTGTTACATTTTGTTACATTTCCTATTACTGTTACATTTTCCTATTACTTCTCCTGCTAGAGGATACTGCTAAAATATTGTGCTTGCTTCTTTTAAGCATTGTATTTTTTTCTCCGAAATTATATTGTAATTACTGAAGTATCCTAGCTGTAATGAATATTCTTTTTAAGCAGAAGTTTTTCTGTATTGTATTCCATGTTTTATATAAAATAACGTAACATTATATGTTGCACAGAACAGTCAGTATTCTTAATCCTAAATCTCTGTGGGAATTGTGTGCAAACATTTTGTTGAGGTCTTTCAGATGTGAAAGAAGGGGCAAATCAAGAACATATTAGCAGTAGCATTACATTGTATTAGTTGAACGTGGATATGTAATCCAAGCTGAAAATATTCTTGTGGCAATTGTGTTGAAACAGTCATATGTAGGCCAATAAAGGAAGAAACATTAAGATTAGGAGCTATTTAAAAATTATCATTCTTCACTTAGCTTTTTTATTTGTTTCTAGCAACTTTCTGCCCTAGCTCTCTAGGGAACAAAACAGGTGCTAAAAGTCATTGCTAACGAAGTGATTGGCTACTTTCTTTCATCTGAGTGAGCTATGGTGGCATATTTGGTCTGCTGTCCCATTTTGTGGCTTAATGTGCTAAGGTTTCCAATTTTTTTTCCCAATATTGCATGTATAAAAACACATTTGTTTCTGTAAAACATCTTCAGAATTTTTATTTAGTTGAGCAAAATATAAAGCAGGAGGAGCAATGGAACTAAATATTCCCAAAGCCCCCAGCTCATTGGAGTGTGCCTTGCTTGTTGAAGGGCTGTAGCTACTAGGATGATAGGCACAGCCCAGGGAGGGCCACTTGCCCTATGGACAGCTTTTGGCTGCAATAGTCTCAGTATTTCTCCCTCTTTACTCTCCGCCTGTCTTCATACGTCGTGATGGCCACTTAATTCATGAGTGCAGTCAGCCTTTCCTTGCAGCATCTTTCATTCTGGAGAGCCTTTTTCTCTTGTGGTTTTTTTTTTTTTTTTTTTGTATGTACTAAAGGTTTTTCTCCTCAGTGGTTCATCAGCTTAGAAGACCAGTCCATGTGAGTGCCCTCAAGTCAACCTCAGCTAAAATGAGCTAGATTGTTTAAAGGACCAGTTGGGGACAGTAACATCTAAATGTTAAATTACAGTGTTATTCTATAGCAATATTTTCTGAGGAAATTACAGATAATTTTTGCTATTTAAACCTGACTTCACATATGAGATAAAGATATGACCTTACATAGAACAAGTGCTAGTGACTTAGTTATCTGTAAACCATAGGTTCATTTTTCTTTTTTTTATAGTTGCAGAAAGTAAAGAATGATCTTGAAATGGTGCTGTCAACAGTTCAGTCAAAGAACAAAAAACTGAGAGAAGATCTGAAAAGGTAGTACAATAATTAAGTTTTATAAATGCTTTTAACAATTTTTTTGTGAAGTATTGTTTTGCTTGTCCAGGAAACTCTCTTTTCTATTTCCTACTTTTCATGTTTCAAAGGGAACAACAGTGGCATGATGAGCAGCTACAGATAGTAGATGTTCTTAGTGGAATTGAAGAGGAGATGAAAAATCAAGTTGTACAGTTTTCTGAGAAAAGGTATTTATTTAGGATTGGGTTTTTCCTGTTGAAGAATTTAAATATTGAAAGGAGAAAATAAGTAGTCAAAATCTTAAAAACTTGTTTGCTAAAATAAATCAGATAACTCTAACATATATTTGAAATGTACAAAATACTTTTTTTTTTTAACTGACTTTTAATATTATTTTATTGACTTTAATGTTCTATTGGTATATTTTCACTATTACATTGAACACTAGAGCATTTCAAGAACTGAAAAATAAAATGCTGAAACTAAGGACATATAAGGAAGAACTCTTGAATGCTTTGGGTGAGTTCCTAGAAGAGCATTTTCCTCTTCCAGAAGAAGATGGAAGTGCTAAAAAAAAGAAAAAGGTAAGATCTTTCTTTAGGAAAGAGCAATATATGTTTATATTTTTATAGAAAGAGTAGATAGATATAGTACTTTTTTTAAAGTTACAGACCTAGAAAATTTCAGTTATATTTTGAAATAAAAGTATATCCTTTTTAATTGATTTTTTTCAAGTTTGTTTATATTATTTGAGGCTGTACCTAGCTGAATATTTTTCTTTTTAATGCACATATCCTTTACCCAATAAGATGCATAGCAAGGTATTGTATTTCTTATTGGACTACAAGTTGTGCCAAATTTAGAAATGGTGAGCATTTTACTCCAAATTGTTCCACTTTTTTTTTTTTTTTCTCCCTTCTCCAGGGCTAGTCAAATGGATTCGTATTTTCCTTGGCAAAGAAAATTTTAATTGTCTAACAATATTTTTGGAACAATAATAAGGACAAGTGTTTATAATTAGAGTGTAATTTAAAATGTTAACCATCAGTTTCCTGCTCAGGCAAACTGGGCCAGAAATTATCCTGAAACTTTAGGGAAAATAGGCAGCCAGGGAGTATTTTGCATAATAAATTCTAACTGCAGTAAAAATAAATCTTTCACCATTACTATTTAAAGGAATAGTTACCAAAAAGCTACAGAAAAGGTAGGATTTGATTTGGCTTTCAGATACGCTTAAGAACACAGGATTAAAAGGATATCTTGAATCCAATTCCCTATTATTGAAGACAGCCACTTAATATAATTTCTTTAATACTGCGATTGAGCTTCATTAAAAATCTAATTATTTTTTGTTACAACTGTTCCTCTTATAGTTCTAGGTCCTTTGTACTCTTCTATACTGCTATCTTCTACTCTAGGTCCCTTTTGTAAACTCTGCTGTAGATGGTGACTGAGATAAGTTATATTGCATATGCAATCGTAGCCCAAAAATACTTCTTTGGTGAGGATTATCTTATATGTAAGTTCCTTGAAGCAGGAATACTGAACCCACTACTGAACTAGTTAAGAAATAATATTTTAGGTTGGGGAAATAGAGTAGCCAAGATTACAAAGTGTCTTCACACCTGCTTCATGGAGCTCTTGCAGCTTCTTAGCATAGTCTCTACTTCCTCAGTCTGATACCAAGGTAAGGACACAAGGATGCACAGTTGTGATTTGTACAGGGAGATCTCCTTGTAGCAAGCCGCGTGTCCTCCTTGTAGCTGTCTGAAGTTGAGAGTACGCAGAACTTCTGTGGTGGAACGGAGGAGCTGGCCTTGACCTTTCATGAATTCTTATTTATTGTCTTGCTTTCTTGTCTGTTCCAGAATCAGAGCTTGTGAAAGGTGCTGCCCATCTGTTAATGTCTAAGGGCTTGGGTCAAAACATGCAACGGCAGTACTGAGTAAACAGCCAGCAGAGCTGCATTATCTCTTATATTTTGTTGAGTGTGAAGTGGATAGGGAAAACTGATAAAAAATGAGAAAAATCTATGTGCCATGCAACAGCAGTTTTCTGGCCTTGTTGCCAAAGGAATTCACATCAATTTAGAGGAGAATAACTTGATTTGCTTGCCATAAATGGAAACAAGTCTAATGCATCCCTGTAAATGATATTTTATTTAGGACTTTTTAAACTCCATGATTCTATTTCTTAAAGTGAATAGTAGCAACAAACAAATACTTTAACTCATAAGAAAATAATAAGGCACAGTGAACAGAAGTCTTAATCTATGAGGGTAATTTGGAGCTCATTGCAATATTTTCTCTAAGTTTGAGGAAAAACTTTGTTATTTTCTTAAATAATATTCACAGAATGTTTTCTATTGTACTTTATAAACATATACTTTTTAAATGTAGATCTGTGTAGATGTACTGTATTCAATTAAGATAAACCTTAATTTTGCATTTAAAGCTTGATATGAACTGATGGATGACTGACATAAGTTATAACAATATTTGTACCACGACTAAACATATGAGTAAATTTCATCAGCTGTATACTGTGCAATGGGGTGATTGTTTTGCTTTGTCTGCTAGGATTCTTCCTGAGTGTTTATTTTTGTTTTTCTAACCTGGTGGTATGGGGGGTTGTCTTGGCAGAACTCTTCCGAAGAGCCAGCAGTAGAACTGATAACACTGCATGAAATTTTAGAGGTAAGATGGTTTTGTTACATAGAGGTTTGTGAGATCTTGTAGTACTCGCATCTGACCACAATATATAAATAAGAATATGTGATTTACAGTTAAAATAGTTAATAAAAAGTATTCAGAAATGTTATATCATACTTTAATATTAATTTCTGTCAAACAAAAATCCAAGTTTTACAAGAATCTTGACAATAGTTTAGCTAACCAATTTTCAAATTGAGTTAGAGAGTGATTATCTCTTATTTCATAAACATTCTGTAAACTCTATTTTTCTCTATTTTTTGGTTAATAACTGAAAAAAAAAGCTCTATGAGTCTTAGCGGCTCGTATTAGGAGAGACAAATGCTGTGGTTTAAAAGTTTTAAAAAGGTTTAAAAGAGGAAACAGAAACAAGAAATGTTTAGATTCAGACTATGTTTTGTACTGTTTTGGTGCAAGTATTTCTGAAATGTCATATAACAGTGGTTTTAGGAGGCCCATTTAATGTGCAGTCTCTTCAATTAAATGGAATTCTTTTGCTTTATATGAGGAGAATAAACAAATGTATTTCTACAGAATTTTCAACAATGCCAAAATGAATTAGTGGGTATATTTAATCCTGTTATAAATTAGAATTTTGATTTGCATAATGTAATTCTGAGGAAGTCAATTAAAAAAAATCTTAGAGTAGCACTGGAATAAAATTTTCCCTTCCTCTTCTATCCCTATCCTTCAAATATCTGAAAGGATCTGTCTGTAAGACAGTCTTGTAAAACACCCTCTTTTTTCCTTTTTTTTTTTTTTTTCTCTTTTTTTTCCTTTTTTTTTTTTTTCCCTCTCGGGGAAAATTTGATGAATAACAACATTCTGGTGTTAAGATGCAAAGATCCGGTCACTATGACATTGTTGTGCTTTAGTTTAAAGTCCAGACAGTGAATCTGTACTTACATCATCAAATTCATTTTACATGCCTCAAGAATCTCAGCGTGCCTATTAATGCCAAATTAGGCAGAGCTGGAAAACAGATCAGAATATAAAATAGCTGATTCCCTATAGAAATAAAATTTTAAAGCTTTCTTAATACTTCAGAAATGCCTTTCATATTTTTCTGATAATATTAATCTCCTCCAAAATACAAACATATCCAAATAAAGTCTGATTTCCATTTGGAAGAACAAACTAGTTCCAGAAATTCAGACTTATTTTTAATTTTAACTGTCTTGGCCTAAACTATGAATGTCCCTTATCTTTGTTTTACATGGCTTTTCTTTTCTTTTGTTGAACATCTTGGTTCTAGTTTCAAGTGCCTGCGAAATTTCAAAACTGTTCTCTTAGATACAGATAATAGTTTCTTAAAGAGACAAACACAACCTCGTTTCTGTATTAAAGGTACAGATTTAGGCTTTACTGTTGTTTAAATCTAATTCATATCCAAAATTAAAAGCACTGGATGTATTCCTAACCATGTTTACTTAATTCTTGTGTGTTTCCTTTCTTAAATAAGGCAGGCATCATACATTTTAATAAATATACTTTCACCAGCTGGGTGTATGCATTTATATTTAGGGATATTGGTATCTTCATTAAATTCATGTAAGATACTACAATGAGCAATGTATTCCTTTTTCATGCGAACCATATTTTTTATTATACCATCTTTTATTCTAGAAATGGGCTGTGTTTTATTTACAAATGCAATAATTAGCTTGAAAAGTATTCCTGAGACACTGTGAATTTAGAGAAATTGTTTAAGATTTGAAACAATGTATAGAATAGAAATGTATTTAAATAACTGTTAGTTGTAAAGACTATTTTGGAACACAGATGTAAAAAAAAAAAAAAAAAAAAAAAACCCACAAAGTAATGTATTGGAATAAATATTAAGAATTGGACCGAATGAGCACAAAAGAAATAAACTGGAACAATTCTTCAGAATGTTTGAAAGAGCAGCACAAGGGCAACCTTTTATGAATGTAGAAATGAGTGAAAAAAACAGTAAGTTTGGGAATGAGGATTTTGATTTTTTTTTTCTTTAGCAATAAGAAGGCAGGCATAATATTTTGTACATGCTGAAACTGGGAGAGCTGGGACATTTAGGAGCTCTGAGTAGGAAGATTTAGTATCCAAGATGAATGGAGACCATCATAGATGGGTAGGATTTTATCATCTGTAGATATCTGTGGTATTTCTCATGATCAATATCATGAGAGCATAAATATGGTCTTTAAGAACAGGAAAACAAGACAGATATATACCTTTAATTCCATTTACTGTATTTACTTGAGAAAGGAAGGAGAGGTAAGGAGAATTGGTGTAGCATGGTTGTCATACCAAAACAAGAAGTCATACACACCTGCCACTTAGGAGGCAAGCAGAAGATTGTGAAGAAGCAGTGATCCTGTAAACTGTGATAGCCATGTTCAGCTTCTCATAGGTGTAAAGTTGTTCAAGATAGCTTCAGTAAGGGAAAAATGCAGAGATATCGAAGATATCTTTCTTAGTACTTGTAACTCTATATTAACAGACTCAACACTAAATTAGGATTTATTGCCTTCATGTTCAAATTATGTTCAGATTCCAGCATTTACATGGATACACTATCTAAAATCCATTCAGAACTTTTGATAGATGTTGAAGAACTTAGTCTGAGTAGAGGGAGAATTCTAGTTTTAATCTTTACATCAGAAAATATGTGGGGGGCTTGATTGAAAGTTTTTCTACCTTTTACTTCTCCCTTGAACAGATCTTGCATTTCCCTGTGGTCTTATATTTCTTCTTGTATTGCTTATTACAATTCTGCCTGCAAATGTTATTAAAGGAGATCAAACTCGAGCTGTTCTGTTCACATTCTAAATCTCATGCTTTTGGTCTTCCAGATTCTTATTAACAAATTAATGAGTACACCACATGAACCCTATTTAACCATCAGTGACTCGTTTTGGCCACCTTATATTGAGCTGCTTCTACGATATGGAATTGCACTGAGACATCCAGAAGATCCAAACAGGATTCGCTTAGAAGCCTTTCATCAATAGAGGAAATTTCATGTACTTTAAAGCAAAATATGAGCGCTTTTACTTGCTGTGAAGATGTGCTTATGCTTATTGAAACTTTTTTCATGTTAGCAACCTCTGCATGTTGGATAGTTTTTTGGTTTTTTTTTTGAATAAAAACATACATTTGGTAAGAATGTGAAATATGAAAAAGACAATTTTCAATTTCAGTTGCTCATCATAGCTACAGTTGTTTATCAGTTTTCTTGCAAGTGATGCCAAGATTTTTTTCAACTGCTTAAATGCAGCTGCAAAATTGCAGATTTTGCAGATGCATATTGAGATAATAGACAAAATAAAGTCTAACAGTCCTTTTGATTTTTAAAGATTGTATTTTACATGTGACACTTTTCTTGACTATTCATTTCCTAAATGTGTTAACTCATCTCAATTTCATTTAGTATTTTGTTGTGCTCAGAGTCAAAATTCCTCCAAATGAGGCTTTGGAGACATTTAGAACTCCTCGGTGAGAACTTCGTTTAGAACCCCATCTTCAATAGCATGTTGTTTTTCAGAGGCTTTGCAAGCATTCAGAAGAGTTGATGTGTTATTCTGTGCAAAGGGCTGAAGATGTTTGGCATGCAGATCTACAGAGTCATAGTGGAGAAACCTACAACCATATGTTTCCTAAGACAGACCCTTTTTTATTGAGTTATATTGCTTAATAGCATCTGCCTTCACTTTTCAGACCTGATTTGTCAAGGTTTGTAATACAACTTCATGTTCTGTAGATTTCTATAGTTTGTGTGTTAGATCAGCTCATAGTTACCTTCTACACGGCCTTTTCCTGCCATCCTAATGTGCTTTTGTGTAGAAGCCATCACTGTAGACCGTAGGTGCACAGGTAACACCTGGCCTAGTTTTACACGATAGTCTCTGCTTAATCCTGGAACTGAAGCTGCAAGTTCCAGTCCTGCAGATCTGCAGTGAGTGTTACCTTGGGAGATATCTGGTTAATCAAAGGCATGTGTTTTCACTTTAACCAATATTCAGTTTATTCGGTTTTAAGGGAGACGCCTAAAGGTTATTGTTTTCAGTTCATAGGGAAAAAAAGGGGGGGGTAAAACAGGTTAAGCTGCTAATAAGCTATTAAAAGCTTACCTGGACAGAGCTCAACAGAATATTTCATGTGAGGGCTTAACTGATGATGCAAGGATACTTGTGAGGGGAACAATTCAGTGTGAGTTCTAGCATAATTGCCTTCTGTTTTTTAGTAGGTGAAAAAAAATGTTAAGCAAAAAAATCATTCTCATATTTTTTGAATCAATGCAGTTACACATTTTTCTGCTAGTTCTATTACTTAATTATTCAAGTAGCTAAGTGTTTTCTAGCTTAGCTTTCTGGTATTGTCCCTTTGGATTTTTTTTCTTCATCTGTTTTAAATACTTTTTCTACTATGTGTTTATCTTATTACTATTATTATAAAGCTCAAATACTTGACTGACCCTGGATATCTGCTTCTATGATGGGAGTGGTAAGCAGGAGAAGATAAAATGTTAAAAACAAAGTTGTTTCTCTATTTTTTCTTTTTATTTAAAAGCCTTCATATATATATGTGTGTGTGTATCTGTATAAAAAATAGATCATATAAACAATCTGTAACAGAGTGCTGTGAAGATGATGAATAGGAATCATTGATTATTTTTCGTAACACAAAATCTATCATCCAAGTAAACTGTCGGGAAAGATGTGAAAGGAATCACTTCTTTATATAAGCTGTAATTTAAGTTGTGGAATTCACTGCAGTAGGCTGCTGTGCAAGGGTTAAACATAAACCTTTCAAAAAAGCAGATTTGCAGAAGTTGGGGTCATGAGAGAATATTACACAAAATGCACAACCTTTCCAAGCAGTTCCAGAAATTCCCAGTTTCATAAATTTGTTGGCCTTTAAAGGTATAGAGTAGGGTATAGAGAAGTACAGCTCTACAGCTGATCTCATCTCTCTCTACTCAGCGGCGACCAGCTCCTTGAAGACCTGCTAATGGCTGCACTCTATCTTACTGTATTGCAGAAAGCCTTTCTGCTCAGGCCTAGGGCACGCTCAGAACCCAGTCCTTCCATGTCAAGTAGTTTCCTTAGGCTCAGTTAAGTTCCTCTACTGCAAAAGAAAAGCTCTCCATAACCTATTTCCTCTCATTGCTGAAAATGCAAGGTTTCTTTGCCAGGTTTCTTCTCCCAGAAGAAACCTGGCAAATCAAGTAAAGAATTTCTTGGCAGTAATGAAAAACAGATCTTCCTTATGAAGTAAACCTGGAGTAAGATCTTCCATCAGCAGGATCAACCATGAGGAAAGCTAAAGCGTAGATCTAAAGTCCAAGTAAGTTAACTTGACTTTTTTTTTTCTCTCTCTCTTTTCTTGCTTGTCAAATTGACAGTTGTTTAACTGGAGTTGACAGTTCTATAAATGCTGATCCTGGACTCTAGGAGACACGTTCTGTGAAATAATGGTTTGTTTACCTTATTTTAATTCTTATTTTAGCTCTACAAAGCTAACCTAAAAAAAACAAAAATTGAGTATTCAGAACTATCAGCATGAGTAAGACTTGACTGTGGCCTTTTAGTGGTTGTTGTACTTGTGGTTAGTTCAAATATTCTGTATTGTTAGGTTCATTTAGCTGGACACCTCTGTCACTTCACAATAATTATTTTTGTACTTGGTCTCAGCCGAGAGAGAAGCAATCTGCATTTACATTCTTTTTGGAATTTCTTAGTATGCATTTGGAATTTCTTAGTAATGCATTTCAGATGCATTTCTTAGTATATAAATTAATACCCTACACTTCATATTGAAAAAGCCCCAAGCAATGCAAGGAAAGGTGAGCTTTATACCCATGGTATTACAGCTAAGGCATTAAAACAGATTACCAGGTACTTGGTTCCATTTATGTTGCCATGTTTCCCAATGAAACTGTTCCCCATTTCAGCTGTGTGGGCCATGCAGAGAGCCCTGTGTGGGAAGAGAAAGATAGGTCTTTTCGTGATTATCAATAAGAACTCTTTAACTAAGCTTTCTAATCACTTTGATTTTTTTTTTTTTAACTGAATATGCTGTAGCAGTTTCAGGATGTAGCTCTATCAGGCAAAACAGAGTTACCATTTTGTTTGCCATGATATTGACCAGTTGTAGATACTATCAATATTAGCACTTATTTTTGTATAGATGAATTATACTGAACATCTTGCAATATGGATATCGATACAATCCATGTTCCTTTAGAATGCATTTGATATTGCTTTTTTCCCCCTGTGTACTGTATTCCTCCATATTCAGTGTTCCCTAGGCTTATTTCCTTATTTTCTATTTACGTATTCCACGATAACGTCATTGAGCACATCTCTCATTTAAGTATTCAGTCCTACTTGCTTCTTGTCATTAAATCAAATGGCCAACACATTTCTGTCCAAACAGGATGCCCCTCTAAAATCCTATGGCCCTTGGCTCTTGTTCTCTTTCATCCCATACCTGAATGTCTGGACCCAACACTTGTTGCTTACTGTCATCACTTTACTTAGCCAGGATTTAGGAAACTTTAATAGTTAGCCTTATATCAGACAGCTGTAATAACAAGAGAAAGCAATATAAAAGATAATATGACTTGATATTAGCATTTCCCTAATTAGTTATACTTCAGAGCCTCTGATTTTGACGCTGTTCTCATTAGCATGAACTCTGACAAAGAATCTATTTCACGTGCCCAGGGCTGCACTTACACAACACTACAAATACATCCAGTTTTAAAATATATAGAAAAAGTCAATTCATTAAAATATTAGTGGAACTACAATAGAAGGTAGTGATAGGTAAAACGATAAAAAGAGCTCTCTGAGATGAAGACTACTAGTGTGGATGAACAAACACTTCAAAAGAATTTGTTAACCTTAATGTATCAGAAACAGCAATAATACACACCAAAAATAAAAATTTAGAAAGCATCCCCTAGTGAGATCCAACCTACAAACAGCAGCACGGAGACCACCTGTGGATTTCTGTAACTGTGCCACAAGTCCTGGGGTCTCACTCTTTCATAAATCCTGCACTGATGCTTTATCCTACAGCTTGCAGGGAGGTGGGGGGGAAAGCATTTACAGCCACTTACAGGCAATGTTCGTCTAGGTAGTTTTGATTGCATTTAGAGGAATTTCTTACCAGAGTCAAGGATGGCTCAGGAGAAAATTCATTTCTCCTCATCTCCCTTGGAAATTTTTCTCTTTTCCAGATGAATTTGTTGTCTTATATGCTGCCAATAACTTACATATCTTCTAAACCTGGAGAATGTAGAGCATTTGAAAATAAATAATAACACATTGACAGAGAATTTGAGAACTTAAAAATTCAGGCAACAGCAATCCAAGAGAATGTACCCAGGTTATTCAGATCTCTATTCTCAGCTCTTTCATGTTCACAAAAGGTCTGGTGTGGCTGCTTGATGTGTGGCCAACAGTTCACTCTCCTATTTGGAGGTGTCTGGGATGCCAGCTGAAGACAGACAGTATCTGCCTGTCCTTAAAATAATTGATTGCCTTGACTGTATGTTTTCATGATAGGAGTGTGAATCATATTAAAGCTGTCCTGGAGCTGACTTGTGCAAACCCCAATTCCCCAGGCCATGGTCACAGATCCCAGATCCTACTGAGGGTCTCCTTGTCAGCAGTGGCAAGTGGAACTCATTTTATGCTCTTGTGGCGTTATTATGCTACAGTTCTTGATAACTCATTTCAAAGGGAATTTTATTATTAAAAAAAATTGCTTTGATATGCTTTAGAGCTGTAGGAGAGGACATTCAGAAATTTAAGGAAAAGTTCTGATTTTCTTATTCTGAAAAAGAAAACTTAGAATTCTAACATTCTCAATTATAAAAGACTGAGTACATTAGGTAAGTGACCACAGATCCTGGAAAGCATCGGTACCCAGCACCTGTTTGCACTTTATGTCTCCAGTACATCCCGTATCTGTCATTCTTTCATAAAGGATAGGCATTTTATGTGCTTTCTGAGAGAAAGCATTTGTTGTTGTTATTGGATTTTTATTTAATTTGCTTATTTAATTACTTATTTAGTTTCAGAATAGTTTTGTATCTTTTTGATCAGAATACTTTCACTGATTCCCAAAGGCAAAATCTCAATGACTGAGCAAGTGAGACAGACCCTTTTTTTTGGTGCATATTCTCGGGCAATACTAGCACTACGTTTTAGCTCAGATTGTTTCCAGGTTAAACAATGAGCATTCCAAGGTACCTCAGCAGCGCC